ACCCCCCCGGGCCCCCGCGCCGGGGTGCCGCCGACCGGGCCCCGCCGCGAAGGGGAAGGACAGAGCCCTCTCTGCCCCTTCTGATGCGCCAAAAAAAGAAAACGAGAAGAAAAGCGTTTTCCAGCGCTCGCTGTTTTCTGTGAGGAGGCGGCAGCAGCAACGCAGCCCCGGAGCCTCGGGCCCCAAGGCCGGGCCAGCGCCAAGGACCCCCCGCTCTCCACCCGGATCCCCGCTCACCGACTCGGCCGCCGCCTCCTGCTCATCCACGGCCAAGGCCCAAGAGTCGGTGGCCATGTCCGGGCCGAGAGGCGCTAGCGCTGGCACCGGGCTCACCGTGAGCAACCGCAATGGCGCCGGGCGCGAGAAAGGCGCCTGCGCGTCCCTCAGGCACCGCCGCCCCGCGGCCTAGGCAACCGCGTTCCGGGAGCGGCGCGTTCCGGCCCCCTCGCCCGGGGGTGATAATAAAGATGGGACAGAAAGAGCTGGAAGGGCAGGAAGCGTTGGGGTTTACTGTCCTATCCCGGGTTGTGCTGTGAGGTGTGTGAGGGGGTCGGGCCTGGACTTGGTGTGGGGTTGAGGTCAGGCACTGCCTTGTGTGGTGTGGGGCAGGTGTCCAAGGTCTCCTTTGCTGCCTGGTGTGGAGCTTGGTACCCTGAACGGTGTGGGGTTGAGAGGTCCAGGCCCTGCCTTGCTGCCTGCTGTGGGGCCTATCCCCCTGTATAGTGTGGGGCTGGTAGTCCAGGGCCTCCATTGCCTGATGTGGGGCCTGCCCCTTTTATGGTGTGGGGCTGGGGGTGCAGAGTCTGCCTCGCTGCATGATGTGGGGCCTGCCCCCTCTATGGTGTGGGGCTGGCGGCTGTGTAGGTCCTGGTCCCCCTGTATGGTGTGGGAGTGGGGCTGGGTTTCCCATATAATGGAGTCCTTTTGGGAGCAGAAGCTTAGAGAAGGTGATATTTGTGAGGGAACCATAGCTCTTTCTGTCTCTGAAATAGAGATGTAGGTGGAAAGCAAGGTTGCAGAATGAGTCACAGAGGTGTAGCAGTGGCAGGAACATGGAGAAGTCGTTTGTGTTCCATCTCTCACTGTAGGGCAGGTGCTGGCTTAGATCCAGTATCAAACCTGTTCGTTGAAGCTGCTGGAATAAAGGTGAGAAAAGGAAAGTAGAAAGGAAAGAAGTGTGGGAAGAGCCTGCAGGATTTCCTCACTGTTTGCTGTTCCCTGCACAGTGTTTGTGCTTCCTTGAACTTTGCATGGAAGGAGCAGCCCTTGAGAAGGTTTTTACTATTGTTACATGTGGCAGGACCAGTAAAATGGCCCAAGACGATGGGGCCATTCTTCCTTGTCTTGATATTCACCCTCTCTTAATGAAGATACAGAGTCACATTGTCTGCTCCCACAGCCTGAAACTTTCCATCCGAGCTGTTATTTCTTTGTGTGCCCGGCAAATCTTGTCCACACCTCATGCCATTTTCCTGCATTTGGTGCCTTAGGCCGGGCAGGACTGGGCCCTTTGCTATTGCTCTTCAAACACTCTGTGATTTTTTTTTTTCTTCTTCCAACTAAACCCCATTACTATTGAGTATTATCATCTGATGCTTTCCCCATGTCCATCTAATTCAGTTTCCTCTTTGGAGGCGAGTCCCTCTCCACATCAGGATCCTCCCCCAGCCACACATGTGAACTTTGGGGTCTGGCAGTTTTATTTGTAGAGGTGACATCAGGGCTTTTTTCCATGGCAACTCATCGCAGTGCCCAGGAGGATGCTGAACACAGAAGCCGAACGCAAGGAGATTTTTCAATGGGAACAGAGCAGGCAGCCGAAAGCAAGTCTGAGACATTAATTAATTAATTAGGTTACAAATAAAAAGCAACGTGGGAAGTCCCAGAGGCCGATGGGCACTTTAGCTGCGGGAAAAAAGATGCTTGTGCTTCCCAGTGTAGTGTTTTCTTTCACACCCACAAACCTCTGGGATTAAACCCATTTTAGAGGTGGGGAAATTGAGGCATAGGAAATGAGGAGAGCTGCCTGTGATTAGGCAGTGTTAGCTGGAGGCAGATCTTTCCGAGCCCTCCTTTCTAATCCTCTCCCTTAGCTGCAATAATTTATCGGGATTTTCGAGGCCCCGGGGGCTGTCAGTGAGGTGTGATCATGGATTTTCCTGTGTTGAGTCTTCTGTACACAAAGAAAGACTTTTCTCCGTCAGCCTCTGGGGCAGAGTGGGTTCCCGTACAGGGTCCTTCGTTTTGCTGGGGTCTCTGTTGTCAGATAATTAAATACTTATTCTTTTAAACACGAAATAAATATTCAGATTCATTTAATATGAAATAAATGCTTAATTTCCCCTGCCAGTGGACTTCGTGCTGAAACTGGAGATCTTGGGAGGGGCAGATGTTGCACCAGGGAATTTCATCGGAATTAACTGTGGTCCTTACCCACCAACCAGGCCAGAGGCTCCTTGTCCGTGCACGTACCTGCTCAGAGGAGGAGGCAGTCCCTGCTTACTCCATGTTACCCCTTTTTATCATCACCATCTACCAACAAGGTGATTATTTTTTTTCCAGAGCATTCCAGGATGAGGAAAACTGCATTTACATACCGAGTAATGCCTGGACATAATGAGAAGTGCTCATTGCTCTCCATCTAGCAGATTTAGTTTGGGTTTTGGTTTTTTCCCAGTTGTTTTGTTGTTTTTTTTTTTCATGCCCAAACCTCCCAGCTGCACTCGGAGTGTACAAACATGAGAGAGATGCAGTTACGTACTCGTGTAATGTTGAAGTACGAGTGAGCTGAATAAGGAGTGGGCCAGAAGCTGGGAAAGCCTGCTCTGTGCCTGGCCACCGCCTTGCTGAGTGCCCCTGGGCTGGTCCCAGGCATGAAACAGGACTGGAAATACTCCTCTGTGGTGTCGTGGTGGCTCTGCTGACCACTGGTTATTAACTGACCCTGGGTGGGTAAGCCAAAAGCTACCTAATAGGACTTCTGGTGAGCTGAAATTTTGTTTTTAGCTTGTCCTCCCCCAAATTTTGTCTTGTTTAGGCCCCTGCTCGTCTGATTTCTCAGCTGCTGCTCCCTGGAAGGAGGTGGCCCTTATCAACAGTGGAGTTTCCTAGGCAAGTCCAACCTGGAGAAGATAAGGAGGAACAAATGCCGGTTGAAGGCCCCTGTGAGCTACTTTGGGATGTGGCAGCTTCCCAACATCATGTTGATGCCCTTGGCGATGCAGCTTCACCTTCAGTGCTAAATGTTAGTTCCCACTAAGATCTATTTCTCTTCTCCCAAGGCCTTGCATCTCCCTTGGCCACCATGGCAGATCCTGCTCTGTTTTGTAAATAAATATGCCGCAGCTACCAGATTTGTTGGTATGAATCCCGGGATTTTTCCTGACATATGTTATTTTCTTCATCGGAGCCAAAAGCCACAGCGAGCAAACATTTTAACAGGCACTGGAAACATGGGACGTGGGCTTTTTGGTGGCTGAATTATTTGTCTAGCAAGAACCATAAATTTTCAAGCTTCAGGGCTGAAGTCAGCCTCTGGGAGTCGGGCTTGAGGAAAAAGCTCTCGACGAGGCGGTTGCTTGTAGGGTTTCTTGCCATTTCCCCTAAAGCACGTCCTTCTCGGTGAAGACAGGATGGTTCATCAGGGACACCATCCATCTGGTCACCCTGGTCCTCCTACGATGTGGACGTATGCTTAGAGATGAGAGGGAGAAGGAAAATGCTCCTGGTTCATCTGAATGCAGATGGGAAGGGAGATGTGGGGGCTACAGGGAAGAGGTGTTTTAGCACTGAGTTTAGGGGCTTGGTATGCTGGCGGTGGTGGATTTACTGCCAGGGATGGGTCTGGTGGGACACTCAAACCAGACAGATTTGTGGGCAGATCCATGTCTCTGCGTAGGAAGAGGTAGGGGTAAAACGTCTGTCCTGCTGCAGATCGCTGCTGCCTCGGAGAGCTTTGCCTCTCGAGGGAGACGGTGATGTTTTCAACGCCAGCGAGCTGCTTGTCAGCAGCAGCACCATTATCACTGAATTTAGGTGGCTTTAGGAGGAGCTTTACCCATCTGCACACTCTGACCCAGGCTTGGTGCCCCGCTCTGCTTTGGGACAGTGGCCGAGTTGGTGCCCGTCCTGCTGCCTCAGTTTCCCCTTTCATCTACAGGTCATTTTTACTGTATTTAAGTGTAAGCTGCTCGGGGCAGAGACTGTATCCTACACAAGCACATCCCTCTGTAACAGCATTGCCTCCCTTTGCCTGCAGAGAGGGTCTCCTTTAGACCCCCTGTACACCCCATGGCCAGGGGTCTGCTCGGTGAGGAGTACCTGGGGAGGAAAGGGTGGATGAGCAGAGAAGACAACAGCAAGGCGGGGAAAGGGGGAGTTCTGGCCTAGGACTGCAGAAGATGTGATTTTAGGGGGCTTCAGGATGTTTTCCTTTTTTTTAGAAGAGCAAGGGGAGGACAGAAGTAAAAGGTGATGGGAGAAAGGGAGGTTCTGCTGGGAAAATCTCACCCTGGGGAGGCAAGTCGCGGTGAGTTTGCATCCCCCTTTCTCTGCCAACTCGCCCATCTCAAGGGCATCTCCTCTGCCCTGGGTGGGCCTCTCCCCTTCCCCTGCAGCCCCCTGGGAGCAGGAGGGGAGCGAGGGGGGAAGGAGAAGGCAGCGGTGTGTGTACAGGGTGATTGTCATGGTTACCTCTCCCTGACAAAACAAATGGCTCCACTTAATGATGGTCACCCAAACAGCTCGGGAAAGTGTGCGCTCATCGGCTGGCTGCCAGCGGGGAGCTGGGTGCTCGCCCTGAGAAGCGAGGAGCTCTCCCCAGCTCCCGGCCGACAGCTTCACCAGCGGGGCACATGTTGCTGCAGGCGGGTAGGTAAAGCCCCCTTCCCCATCCCAGACCCCCGTGGACCACTCCAGCATCGCTGCCTCATGGAGAGGGCCCAGGGGAGGCTCCGGGGGGGCGAATGCCACAGGTTGCTGAGGTGGCTGTTGTGCAGCGCTCCCCCCACCCCAAGCCCTGGCGCTTGCTCTCTCCCTCCCTTTTTTTTTTCTCCTCTCTCTCCTTATCTTCGTCTCTCCGTGTCTTTCAGAGACAAAAGCAGTCTGAAGCCGTGCCTGCCGCCTTTGGGATTTCTTCTGCCCCTCCTGCCCCCCAAACTCAGCTGCGGGCAGTTGCAAGGGGCTGGCAGAAGTGGGTGAAGTTGCTCCAACCCCCCCATCCCCTTCCTCCTCCTCCTCTTCCTCCTCCTCCTCTCTCTTCTTCCAGGAAAGGTAAGAAAAGCAGTGGCTACTCTCCAGTTGCTCCTGCACCTTTTTAGCAGGCTGGGCTGTGTGTGCTCTGCAGGGGAGTGTGTGGTGTGTGTGTGTGCGCGTGTGTGTGTGTGTGTGTGTGTGTGCGGGCTGTTACTTCCCCAGGCTGTGCACAATCTCAGCACAAAGCCGCTCTGTGAAGAGATCCCTGTCATAATATTTCTGCAGGCACAAGCCCACACTTTGCAAGCTGCTGCTTCCCTGCCTTGCCTTTTCCCAGCTGGATTGGTGAGCCCCCGAGCATCCCCTCCCCAAAATCCTAGAGACATTTATAGGGACTATCTTCATCTCCCTGCAGGGAAAGCAAAGGAGGCTGGACTGGGGGGGGACGATGCTGGGGGGGATGGGATTTTGCTCTCCTGGGCAGCCAGGTGGGTTGTCCCAGCTGTGGGCACTCTGGTTTGGGGGACAGGAGGACTGACCTTGGCAGGGTGAATCTCATCCTCCTCGCTAAGAGTCAAAGCACCAAGGACGCGGCTTGCATTCACCACGCTTGGCTGGGGCAGGACAGGGGTGGATGGAGAAGGGCTGTGCTGCTCCTGGTGGCCCTACATGTCAGCTTGGCTCCAGATGTAACCCACACACAGGACTGGTAGTTTTAGTCCAGCCAAAAGGTGTCTGGGCTCAAACGTCCCTCTCTGGCTCAGCCCAGAGATCTTCCATGCACCAGCACAGCAGGGGTTAACCAAACCCTGTATCAGAAATGCTGTCTGCACAGGGACATGATTGATAGCTCTAGAAATGGGGCTTGGGATGTGAATCATAGTCCCCAAAACCCAACTGTGGGGCAAGACTGATGGCCCAAGAGACCTGCCAGGGGTGTGATTGACAGTCCTCAAAATCTGGCTTTGATGGGACTGTCAGTCACATCTCAACCTGGTGCTGCATCACCCCAGGAATTCACTGGGTGCTGGCAGGCGCAGCGTCCTCCCCTCATGTACCCCCAGTCTCTAAATCTAAGGCCTTGGAGGGCTCCTTGGGGCAGTACCAACCTTGGGGCAGGCCCCAAAGGGACGTGTGCCTCTGGTTGGAAATCTCTGTCACTGCTTTGGCAGTGGGGTACCACGCTGTGACCCCGCAGTGGTGCTGGGGTGAGGCACAGCAGCTGTTTTGCTGGTTTTCCCAGCAGGTGGGATACCCTGTGCTTATGTTTAGAGGCAAGGGGAGGCTGGAGATGGGAGAAGGACTCACAGAGCTTTTAATGAGAGGTCCCCACAGGTCTGCTGTGGTGGATCCATGTCTCTTTCAGGAGGTGCTGCCGTCAGCCAGCAAAGTGGTTGACGTTTGTACAGGAGAGTGCTGTGTGTGCTGTTTCAGACACCATTTGCTCCTATTGCTTCTTAGAAATGTTTTAGGGGATTGATCCCAATCCCCTGGCCAGATTTGAGCCTCGTGCTTAGGGGGAGAGTGCCTGGAGAGGTCCTGCATGTCTTAGGCGTGACCTGCAGCTGATGTGGGTCAGGTAGGAGAAGCCAGGGATCTCCAGCAGCGTGCCCATAGCTGCTTCCCAAAACACCAAGGTGTGGCTTTGCTTGAGAGCCCTGAAAGTTTGGGAAGGGCTCCTCCTGTTGTGCTTTTGCAAACAGATGGGACTTTGCTTCCCCGTGGTGGCTGCCCAGCAGCTTCCAGAGGTGCTAACGTGGGGTTGTGGTGCAACGGGCACCTGTGCATCTGTACATCTCCACAAGGCTCGCTGGCTGTAATCATCCTGACAAGCCACTGGATGTCAGTGTTGATTGATACAGATGAAGCGGAAGGAATTCTACCCAATATTTTACCCAACTGCTGAAAAACAATCGCCCTCCAAGCAGTGTGGGCATGACCCAAGTCTGGCTCAGACCTGGAGGTGGCATTTTGAACGGAACCCATCTGGGGCTGCTCAGAGGTCACAGCAGGGATGTGCAGGGATTCAGCAGTCCCAAGAATGTGCCCATCACAATGTGTGTGGCAGGGCTGGGCTGCAGTCGTGTCTTGGGGGGGCAAAAGCAGCCGGGGCAGCCTCTGGGCACCGGCCCTTCAGGCACCAGGGCCAGGCAGGGATGTGCTGCGGGCGGCACAGGGTTTGATCCCCGCTGCCAAGTCTGGTTTGGGTCTCACTGTCCTGTGGTCAGTTATGGGCGCCAGGGACCCTGTGGTGGTGGCACTGCTGGGACCACAACCTGCTTTAGGGAGCTGTGCAGAAGCCAGGCTGCATGCTCATGCCTACGGCAGTCACAGTTTGCTCTGTTTTATTCCATGCATGAAAATACACCTTAAATTTAAGAGCATTATTCTGCCTCTGTCTTTACTACACAAGCTCAAAAACCAGATTTTTGAGGGCACATCAGTGCTTAGAGATGCAGACGGGCACCCAGGCAGCTCCAAGCAGCGCCCCAGGCGTTGCACCCCCTTTCCAGGCACAAAACCCCCCCTTTCCAACCCAGTCCTGTAAACCCAGCCCCAGGCGCCTGCAGGCAGTGGAGCGGCTGGTGCAAGCTCGGGGCGAGCCTGCGCGTCGCGGCGCCGCCTGCGCTCCCTGCGCACTCTGCGCGTCACGGGGACCGTCCACAGACGTCGGTGCAGCATCAGTGCCGTCTCCGTCAATCGTGCGTGGAAATTGGCTGGGAGTATGGCCTGGAGCATGTCGCCAGCGTCAATCCCTCCACCGTGGCCGTGAAGAGGGGCAGATTGTCAAGAAAAGCATTTACAAAGCAAAGAAAAATAAAAGAAAAATACGGTAGCATCCCTGTGTGCCAGGTCCTGAGCGTGGCCGGCTAAGGGCACATTTGGTGGCGGTGAGGGACATACTGAGATGGATGCAGGGATGCTCTGTGTAGCAATGATGCTGGTGGTAATTTTTGGGATGTGGGGTCCTGCCAGCTCCCATCCTGAGGGTCCAGCCCTACGACCTGGATGGAGTCTGAGTGCAGGTTCCAGAGCAGCAAAGGCAGGATGGGGAGCAGCCGGGGAGGCAGTGGGGAGCTCTTGGGGCGGGTACAGGAGAGAGATGCCAGCTATCCCACTGCCCACCTCCACGCCAGCCTTTCTGCTCTCCCCTTTCCACGCTGCAGTCACTTGATGGCGTTGGTGACCCGATCTGCGTGAAGCAGCAGCGGCAGCCTGCTGCCTCCCAGCCCCATCCCAAGGGTCTTGGTGAGGAAATCAAGCTGGGAAAAGCCCTCCCTGTCCTTGGGGGCAGTTTTTGCAGCTGGTGCAGCAGGCAGGGCTGGTGTAGGACTCCTCTGAGCCGTGCTGAGGTCCGAGTCTCCCCATGTGCTTTATACAGGATGTGGTACAGGGCTTCATGTCTCATCAAGGGTCTTGTAATGCTGAGGCTGGCCTGCGTGGTGCAGAAATCACCACTGGCAGAGCAGCTCCGGTGGGATATGCACATCCTAAGCCTCTGTGCAGAAGGGGCTTGGATCCCAAAAGGGGCTCTGCCATAAGTCATCACAGCCAAGAGAGCTGCCAGGCTGAAGTCACAATTCTGGAGTCTAAGTTCACCCCTCTGGCAACCCCGTAATGAATTCCCGGTGTGCCTTGCTGGTAGAGAGCATCTTTCCCTCATTATTTCTTCCTTACTTTCTTCCCTAAGGCAAAATAATCCTCCCTCCTTCTTCCCCCACCTGGCGTTTAATCACTTCCCGATATCTTGATGGCCTCTGCCACATCTCGGCAGTGAGACAACCTTCATTATCTCTCCCTGTAGCAGGCGAACTCTTGCCAGCTTCTGAATTTACAAGCCCTGTTCGCATGGCTTGGAGCATCCCTGGGCTCATGGAGGACTCCTGTGCCAAAACATCCGAGCTGGACACATTCCTGCATCTCCTGACCACGCGGGGCTGCATTCCCCTGGATGCATCCCCCAGCTCCGTGGGCAGCTCCTGGTGTGAGCAGGTGGAAGGAGAGGAGGATTAAATCGGGAATGGCCAAGGTTAATGACTGGGAATCAGAAGCATGCCTCGAGATTACTGCCCTCTGTCATCCTCTCCACTGCTGTTTTATGTGCATGAGAGCCCTGACTACTCTCCCCCATCTCGGCCAGCCCTGCTTGCTCTCCCTTTTTCCTCCCTTAGTGCCATTTTCTGCTCAATGAGCTCGTGGCCTTGATGTCTGCCATTCGCGTCTTCCATGGCATTTGCATATAAAGGTGGTTTTAATAACTCGGGACTGCTAGGAAATGAGAAACTGATGTATTTCACTGCTGCTGGCTCCTCCTGGGCCTTGTAAATCATTGCAGAAAGCATTGCAGAGCCAGACAGGGAGAACTGCTGCCTAGCAACTTCTCCCCATGCCCCGGGGGAGCTGGATGTGGCCCCAGAGCTACCTGGAAAGTCTCCTTTGAAACCCTGGGTCTTGGGGAAGATGAGCTGGAACGGGGGAAAACCTGCTCGGGGAAAAGAGTTGAAATGTAATTGGCAGAAGCAGCCACTTTGCAGCTGAATGTCTCTGCTCAGCAAAGAGAGGGATGAGTCAGCCTTTGCAGAAGGGATCTGGAGGTGCAGGGCAGCAGAGCCCTGCTACTGCCCCAAAATGCAGCAAAGGAAGGCAGGGAGGATGGTCACCTTTGTCTGCCTGCTCTTCCTTCCCACAGACTAAAGGAAAACTCTCAGGATTGTAGTTTATCCTGGAGAAACTTGTAAGTTTGGGGGATAATGAGAAGCAGAAGGGCCAAAAAAAGAGATGTTAACCCGTTCTACCCAGCCTCAAGCATAGGTGTGTGCGGGAGCTGGTGAGATGCGTGATCCACCACTGCAGTGTCGATCTCTGGGGCTGCCTGTCCCCTGCTCCCTTGCACCAGTGGGGATCTGGGGCAAGTGTTTGTCCCCAGTCTCGCCCAACTTCCCACCAGAGTCTTGTCTCCATGCCCGTCTCTACCAGTGGAGCCATCAAGCCCAGGTCTCATCCTGTCCCAGGGCAGTCACCTTTCTGTCCTCAGGGCTGCAGAAGCCAACATGAGTTGGAGGGGACACGCAAGTGTTTTGGGCACTTGGGGCTCATCATTCATTCTCGCCCTCCCACCTCTCTCCAGCTCTCTGCAGGTGACTCCACCATCACCCACAGCCCCCCAGGACGATGCCAGGGCTGATTAACAGGACAACCTGCTCCCCACTCCCCCTCACTGCGTCAGAGGTGACGTCGTGCGTCAGCGGCTATGCCTTCGGGATGACAGCCCTGCTCACCTACCACAACCCAGAAGCCCAGGCTTTTGAAGGCAAGTTTCAAGGGGTGAAGCTCTCAGTGCAAGAGCTACTACAGGATCTTTAGAGCCATCAATATCACAGCACTGGGTTTCTGTGCGTGCCTTAAACCTTTAGACGCTTGTGGGAGGAGTAACCAAGTGTGTTGTGTCCTCAGTTGTACCCTTCACAGTCCAAGATTACAGTTTTTTAAGTGGGAAAAGTCCCAGAAGCATGCAGGGAAGTGCCAAGAAGGAGCTGCCCCGCTGCGGTCCTGGTTGGTGGGTCTGGGCAAGTGCTTGGTGTTGCTAAAATCCCTTTCTGGCTGGCAGGTCTCTTTGTCTACCCCTTGGATGAGTGCACCACTGTTGTTGGGTTTGAGGCAGCCGTGTCCCGGCGTGCTGTGACGGTGCAGATCAAAGACAAAGCCAAGATAGATGACACGTATTTCGATGGCTGCAGCCTTGCCGATGGAAGAACTTGTGATGGAAAGGGTGAGAGGGTTGGGGGTGTTTTAGTGAATGTGGGGAAGAAAAGCAGGGTTAGAGGAATGGGGAGGTGACAGCGGGTGGCTGGCTGTGATATGCCATGGCATCGAGAGGGCTTGTTTTGAAAGGCTGAATCTTGGATTGTGATGCTCCTGTCCTTACGATGCCTGCCAAAAGTGGCAGTCTCATCCATTTTGGAAAGCACTGTTGCTTCTGGCCAGCCAAAGGAGTGGGAGAAATAGAAATGAATGTTAGAGAAATGCTGATGTGTGCAGTGAGGGCTGGTTTGGGCATTTGATGCAGGGCTGGGGTGGTTGTAGGAGGACTGGAGATGAGCATTTTCCATGGCTGTGACACCCCATCTCCCTGGCATTGTCTTATTTTTGTGCAGGAAGGATCATGATGGATGAGGACTTGGAGAGGATTGTTTTTGTGGCTAACCTGGGCATGATTCCTCCCCTGGAAAGCATCTCTATCTTCATCAGCACCTCCTCTGAGCTGCAGACACTGCCCAGTGGGGCCGTGAGGGTCCTGCTGCCAGCTGTGTGTGTCCCCAGGGTCCCCCAGCCCAGCCTGGAGAATGCCAGCAGCCTTTCCAGCAACCAGCTCCGAATGTACGGAAAACCACGGGATGAGATCTGGTTGGGATTGATCTGGGGGGATGCAGGACCGGCAGAGCAGAAGCCAGCTGTTGCTGCAGGAGGCTGGGGAGCTGCTGCAGGCTTTACCTCCAGCAGATGTGCAGTTCCTGGGGGGATATAACAAGTGCATGGTGTTGACTGGTGTTGATCTCGCCGGCAGGGACAAGCTCTACTGTGGATCGGGGAGCCCGGAGCAGGGGAGCAGGCTCTGCCTGGCTCAGCTGCTGGAGAGAGAGGCCACCAACCCCTTTGAGTACGAGTTCAGCTTCCACCTAGAGATCCGGGGGCCGTGCTTGCTGGCAGGTAGGAGCACCGGGGTCATCCTCCTGCACCAAGGTGGTTTATCACCTCCCCAGGGCCATGTCCACACTCTTCCTCCTTCTCTGCCCCCTCACTGTGGAGTCTGTTTTGGGAAGTTAGCTGTGCTGGGGTGGATTTACCATAGGATGTTGGTATGGCAGAAGTATCCATAGTCCACTTGGTTCCTGTCCTCTGCTATCTTGCTATCTCTCCTCTCTGGTCTTCCCTGTCCTCAGTCCCTAACTGTGCCTCGGTTTCCCTGGACAGGTGTTGAGAGCCCTACGCATGAGATCCGAGCAGACGCCGACCCCTCCGCTCGCTCAGCCAAGAGCATCGTGATCACACTGGCCAACAAACACACCTTCGACAGGCCTGTGGAGATCTTGATCCATCCAAGTGGTAGGTGGGCTCTGCTTTCTCTCTGCTGGTCTTGCCCCTTCCTCTGTCAGGATTACAGACAGCTGGATTAGCTCTGGTTTTGCAAATATTGTCAGACTTAGATAACCCTTGAACCTCTCAAGGTTGTCCATGCTGCCCAAGCTGAGAGATATTGCTCTCTTTTCATGACTAGGGGTGAAAACAAACCTAAAATTTAGCTAAGGCTGTTCTTCACTCTATTCTCTGCATTTCCAGAACCACACATGCCTCACGTCTTAATGGAAGAAGGTGATATGAGGCCTGCAGAGTATGAACGGCACCTGAAGGGAAAGAACGATTTCATTAAAGGCACTAAGAAGGACCCCAGTGCTGAGAAAAAGGTGAGAAGCAAAAGCTGCAGGCGTTAGCTGAGGCTTTCCTTGGGACTGGAGCTGTGCAAGTAAATGATCGCTTGCTTCCTTGCAGTATTGGATATTACACTGGCCTGATGAGCTCTGCAGCATCCTCCCTCAGAGAGGGGCTTATGTGGAGGAGAGGGGAAAACTCTGCAGCGCTTCTCATAAACTGAGTGTGGAATAAGCTCTGAGATGGTTATTGTGTATATAATTAGTACTAGTCTAGCATAGCATAATTAGATAGGTACATTGTTATAGCATTAAGAGTATTATAATTATTGCAATGACATAGAATAAAATATTATTTTAATTGCTCAGTAAATGTTTACCATTTCTGGATAGCTGTCAGAGAGAAACAAGTGATTTTGCTTGGAATAATGAGCCGAACTGAAGACAAGGTAGGAGAAACCTCTCTTTGTTCTGCTGATTGGCAAATAGAAAAAATATCTGCTCTGGGATTTGTGCCTTGTCTTTCAGCAATTCTGAAGCGCTGAGTGACAGCCTGGCGCTTTTGAGCTGCCATGTCAGTGTGTCTGGGATCAGGAGGAGGACTGGTCAGAGCCCTCCGAATTTCCAGGGTGGGCGTCTTCGCCTGAGGCACGCATCACAGTTGTGTGACTGCAGCCCTGGGCGCACTGTGTCAGCTCCCTGTTTTACACGCACCGGTGCTCTCATCTGTGACCAGAGATGCTCATTTTCCCCTGAAACTCATCCTCCGCGTGTCTGAGCCCCCGCTTGGCAAATGGCCCAAACCCGCTGCAGAGGTGCCTTCCCGTGCTGCCGTGCTTTCTCCTTTGACTGGAGACACATCCACCCTCTTCTCTTTCCTTTCACCCTTCAGTCTCATTGCAGCAGGGTGCAGGGATAGGGACTGCACTTGCTGGCGCGGCAGGCATCTCCTCTAATTGTGCACAGCGTGTGGCAGGTGGAACAAAATGAAACTCCCACGCTACGGCTCAGATGGCTCTAATTATTTCTGTGTCTTTAGCATGTCAAATTATATAAGAGGGGATGATTCCAGAGACATTTCCCTGCAGGAAATCCACCTCTTTGCCCCAGGAGGACTGGGAAGAGACTGCAGGGAGAAGGGTGAGAAGCAGAGAAAATACCTTAAATATCTGGGATAGATGATGGGCTAGAATTGCTGCTGCTCAGAGCATGACACTGGGCACCTCTCGGCTTAAATTAAATTAGCCCAGAAATTTCAGCAGTAAATGATAATTAATTCTCCTCCCTCAGTTTGTTATGCAAAAGCCTTGGATGTTCGTCAGCCAGCGGGGCGGTGGGGACGAATGCACACTGGAATCTACTCTTGGCTGACAAGATCTGATTAGTTTGCTGTAATTAGATAACAGGTGAAAGGGAACGGAAGAGAAGGGATGCTTGCTTCTCTGCCTGAGCTGTAGCAGCAGCTCTGAGGCTGTTTACTGAAGGCTTGCCTGTAAAGTTCCCTCTGAAGTCAGTGGGAAGTCTAGGCTCATCTCCATCATGCAGGGATTTTATGTCTTGGGTCCCCAAAAGCATCCCAGGGAGTGCTGCGGGTAGGTCCAGGGCCACGATTTGGTCCTTCCCTCTAGTCTGAAATGTGATGAAAATCCATGCTGGGAATGATGTTAAACAAAATAACATCATATGCCTGGAGGAAAATGGGGATGGAAAAAGCCATTCCAGTTCCCAGTGACTGATTAATTTATAGTGCAAAGCCTGGGAGGGAGATGCAGGAGGATGAGCAGGAGCTGGGGTGACAGCGAGGTCCTTGTTCCTGTGAATGAGAACCATCTTTTTGCAGGGGTCAGAGAAGCAGCACTTGGGCAGCGCAGCTGACAGCGAAGCCCTCTTGTATGTGTTGATCCGCAGGGATGCTTGAGTTTAGTGAGTTATGTAAAATAAAAGTTGGTCGTTAGCTCGTAGATCTAGGAATATGACTCATGGTTGGAGAAAACAAGCCCGGTTATTTGGGGTCTGGTTTACTCCCTGGTGACAGCCTTAAAAAGAGGGAGAAAAAAGGCAAAAAAGCCTCTGAGGCCCGATCTGCTCGTGATGCTGGATGTTTCCACAGTGCAGACCTGTGAATGAAAGGCCATGGGCAGGGCTGATGTGGGGTCCTGGAGCTCCCTCGAAAGCAGCGATGCACTGACTCACTGCAGCTGAGACCACAAACCCTTTATACACGTGTAGCAGCAGGTTATAAACCCATCACAAGGTTTTTTCCAGTTTAATTTCATCACATTTTTAATGGAGATTGATGCTTGAAATAGAATGAGGCAAAATGCGGAGCTATTAGAGCTATGTGCAGTACAGAGACAAGTATTGCGCAGGTTCCTATCAAAAAATGTCCTGAGCGAAGTGTTCGGCTTTCCAAAGTGTTTCAATCTATACAAAGAAGAATGATGAAAGAAATGAGCAGAAAAACCAGCAAACCAAAGGCGGCAGGAATGAATCGAAGCAGTGAATACAGCACGCTGTGGACTGTATCTGACACTTCATTACCGAGTGACCACGGACAAAACCTCTGGTGTGCTTCAGTGTGATGCTAAACTGCGCTAATGAACCACGTTTTCCGGAGGGATCTAACGAAATGTTTGGAGAATGAGTTTTGCAAGGTGCTGTGTAGGGTCAGGTCTTTTAATTTCTCCTCCAGGCTCTCATCTGAGCCTGCAGCCCCTCCACGTGTGCTGGGGTCCCTGATTTAGGCTTTCTGACGGCCTTTTTCCCCTGGGCAAAGCATGGCCATGGCTGGGAAAAGGCAGGAATCCCATTCACCCACAGAGCAGCTCTGCAGGGGGTATGGACAGAACAACCTGCGACACAGCCTTAACCAGGTGTTGTCACCACTGAGGCCAGAACAAGCCCATCCCTGCCCACGAAAGGCCATGCACTGACATCTTTGGGCACGCAGCCCGTCTCTGGTTCCCCTTGAAGTGAAAAATCAACCTCTCAACTTCTCGTTTTCTTTCTTGCAGACGGAAATCATCAGGAAGCGGCTGAACAAGGACATTCCCCACCACCCCGTTGTCATGCTCAACTTCTGCCCTGACCTGAGGACCGTCCAGCCAGACCTCCGCAAAGCCCATGGGGAGTTTATCTTCCTTGTAGACCGAAGCAGAAGCATGAGTGGCGTCAACATCAACCGCGTCAAGGTACCACGCAGGAGGGGAAGCACCTGCGTGCCAATGAGGGATGAATATTACAGAGCGGTGGGGGTTGTTGAGTGCTGATGAGTGTTCATTATGAGGGGATGGGGGGTAATTATACGCTGTAGCTTTAGTCATCTCAACTGTGTGGCTTGTTAGGTACCTGCAGCACTGCTGACTCTCCCCTGTTCTGTTCCTCTTCTTCCTATCAGCACATCAGACACAAAGGTGTTTTGTTCCCCCCCCCACCCCTTGCTGGCGTGCACCTCTTGTGCATCCCTTCTCCATGTCTCCCTGTCTCTGGGGGTCTTGGAGCAATCGCTGCCTAGGGGGGGAACCTCCAGTGGGCTCCAAGGGATGCTTCAGGATTAAATGCTGTACATGATTTAGGAGACATTTTGCTGATGAGCGCCTCTGTGCACCCACAGAAGTCATTTGAACACGATGCATCCCTTTTTCAAACACAGATTTGTGCCTCTGGATAAAAAAGGGGCTGTAGAAAGGTCTTGTCATGACATTTTGTGGGTCTGAAAGGTTCCCCTGGCAGGTATGACTTACCCAGCTGTGGGTTGCCTCATGAGAGCCAGGCTTGGCTCTGTGCTGCTGTCCAGAGGGTCTGGGGAGGTTCCTGCCCTGAGCCCACCAGAGACCGCTCTGTCCATCAAAGAAGAATTCACTCTGGTGACTATTTAATTATCGTTATCCCTGCCTAACGCGCTTTGGAGGCCAGATTGGTGTCCGACTCCTGCCAGCTGGCAGATCTCAGTGAGAAGCTGCAGTCTCTGGGAAAAGGTTTTTATAAACTTTATGCCTTGATTTTTGGGGCCAGGTAAGCCTAAATAACTTAAAGAATATTGCATCCTTCTGAGTGGGGTATGGGGCTGTGCTGCTTTTGAGGACCGTGAGGGAATGGCAAAGGGAAGCTTCATGTGAGGGGTTCAGTTGCGTATGGATGTCTGAGAGATTCCCCAGACCGATGTGTCCCCAGGTGTCCTGCTCACACACTTCCCTAAAACAAGTGCCCAACCGAATTGACCCCA